TACTACTACTACTACTACTGCTACGACTACTACTACTACTACTACTACTACTACTACTACTACTACTAATACTACTACTACTACTACTACTACTACTACTACTACTACTACTACTACTACTACTACTACGAGCACCGCTGCCACTACCACTACGACTACCACTACCACTACCACAACCACTACCACTACCACTACCACGACAACTACCACTACGATTACGACTACGACTATGACTACGACGACGACTGCGACTACGATTACGACTAATCAAAAATTACTCCGACGGAAGAACCCCACATAAGAATCCTCTGGGTGAATCTGGAAAAAGCCATCACCGTCGTCGTCGTGGTTGGTGAGGCGCCCTGGCTGTCTCTTCTGCGTATATTTCCTCTCGCCTTTGCGCGGGCCCCCCTTCCACTCCTTACGTTGTCCCCATCCTCGCCCCCCTGTTTGTTCCGCGCCCCGCCACCTCCTCCCCTTCCTGTTGCATGAGCGCGCATGTCGATGTTCCTCGGCGCCGTCGCCGCCACGGCCAGCACAGGCGCGTTCTCTACTGGTCACGTCGCGCAGCCGTTGGGACAACCCCGCGGGCCAGGCTGTCGGGACAACCCCGCGAGCCGCTGGCGCGCAAGACCAAGCCGTTGGGACAACCCCGCGGGCTTCGAGCGAGGCGCAGCCGCGCTCAGGCGGAAGGCAGCACGAAGCCCAGCTCTGCCGCGAGCTGCTTCGCCTCCGCCCTGGACAAAACCGCTCTCTTGTCGAACTCCAGGAGCGCCTTCCGCAGGGACGCCGGCGGCCCGCACTCCAGGAACTCTCGCGGCGGCGGCCGCAGGATCAGCATGTTCCGCATGCACGTGGCGCGGGAGAACATGACGTAGAGGTGCAGCCACCACTGCTCGTCCGACATGCCCGTGCGGCCAGCGTCCTCGTCTCTCGCGCAGTCGATGGTGACGCCCTTGCGCAGCGTCTGGCCCTGCGACAGCGTGGAGGTCAGGTAGGACGCGTGCGTCAGGGTGAACCCCGAGCGGCGCACGCTGTGCGCCCCCGAGCTCTGCCATGTGAACTCCCTTTCGCTGGGCCTGAACATCAGCAAGCTCCGCGCCCGCGCCTCGGCCTGGCCGTCGTCGTCGGCGCCTTCGGCGCCCTGTCGCAGCACCTCGGCGACCTCCTGGTAGATCGGAGACTCCTTGAAGCCGTGCACCTGCAGCCAGATTCCTGACCCGCTCGGATTACCAACATGATCTGCGGGCCCCATAGGGAGGGGGCTCCCGCCTGAGACTTCCTCCACTCATAGACGAGGCTCCCGCCTGAGACTTCCCCATATTCAGGCTTGAGGAGCCCAAAATTGACGACCCAGTGACGACAGTTACAGGATTCCGATGACCCGCTCGGATTACCAACATGATCTGCGGGCCCCATAGGGAGGGGGCTCCCGCCTGAGACTTCCTCAAATTCACTCAGAGACGAGGCTCCCGCCTGAGACTTCCTCCAAATTCAGGCTTGACGAGCCCAAAAGTGACGACAGTTACAAGTTTCCGATGACCCGCTCGGATTACCAACATGATCTGCGGGCCCCATAGGGAGGGGGCTCCCGCCTGAGACTTCCTCCCAATTCACTCACAGACGAGGCTCCCGCCTGAGACTTCCTCCAAATTCAGGCTTGAGAGCCCAAAAGTGACGACAGTTACAGGATTCCGATGACCCGCTCGGATTACCAACATGATCTGCGGGCCCCATAGGGAGGGGGCTCCCGCCTGAGACTTCCTCACAATTTACTCAACGATGATGAGGATGAGGATGACGATGATGATGAGAGCCGATGCCGATGCGATGATGCTGATGATGATGATGATGATGATGATGAGAGTGATGATGTGAGTGATGATGTGTGAGTGTGTGAGTGTGTGTGTGTGTTCCTGTTCCTGCGCGGGGTGTCCAGAGAAAACAAGAACCCCACTTTGGATGTGGGGAATAACAATACGGATGCTGATACGGCGAATGCGAGCACGACCACAAATGATGATATCAGTAATGCCACTGATGCTGCAATTGCAACCATAGAGCGCGTCCCACATATATTGCACCTTACAGGTTGCACCACAAATAGAAATTGCACCACACTGCTTGCACCAGACGGCGTGCAGAATAGAACGCCTCCCATATACTAAACAACACAGAACGCGCATTGAAAGTTAGTACACATCGACAGTGTAAGAACACAACCAGCAAGAACATGCTGACCCCAGCGACGACGACGAGGCGGTAGGAGGAAACGAGGAGAAGGCGACGGGAGGACAAGGGGGAGACGGAGGGAAGGTAGAAGAAGGGGGGAAGGGAAGGCGACGAAAGGAGGGAGGAGGAGGAGGAGAAGGAGGAGGAGGAGGAGGCGACGAATGGAGGGGAAGGAGGGCGACGAGGGGGAGGCGATGGAAGGAGGAGCACCAGAAGGAGGCGATGGAGAGAGCGAGGGAGAAGAAGGAAGAGGAGGCGGGGGCGATGGGAGGGGGCGGCGACGGGGAAAGCGGCCCTCGCAGCTGGACTTGTCAGCGCGCGCTCCCGCCCGCTGGCCACCTGCTCGTCCTCCACCCCGAAGCCGCTCCAGCTGGCCCAGCAGCTCTGGCAGTAAGAAACGCCTGCCAGGAGGGGCGGCGCGAGAGGAGGGCTGGCCGGAAGAGGTCGAAGGTCGAAGATCGGAGCTCGCCGATGTACACGTCGTTCATTTCTGATCGTGCTCATTTCTAATTCTGCTCGTTTCTAATTGTTCCTGGCCCCCCAGTGGCCAGGAAGAGGCCCAGGATGGAACAATTAGAAGTGAAAGGATCTTGGCCCCCCAAAAAAATCCAAGAACTCGAAACATTGAAAATGAACCATGTGTAGGACTGAGGAGGGTGTTTGGAGGGGGCGCCTCATGGCCACGGCTGGATCCGCCTGGGAGGTCCGGCCTGGTCGCCTTCCTGGATTGGTCCAAGGGCCGATCATGGCCATGGGGCCCAGCAACCCCCCCCCCACACGTCGTGAAAAAAACACGGCAGGGGGAAGGGGGGAAAGGGGGGGGGGCAGATTTCTGCCCCCTGGGGCTTTCCCCGGGCTGCGGGATTGCCAACAATCGGCTCGGGGTTGAAACGCCTGTCCCAAGGAAGCGATCGGCACCTCCTGAGTCCGTTCACGCCGTGAAGAATCACAGGGCCAGGAGTCTGAGGGAGGGAGGAGGGGGGAAGGAGGGGAAAGGGGCACCGGGAGCACGAGAGTGCTGGCAAAGAAGGGGCGCATGCATCCCACCCCCATCCACAGAGTTGTTGGAGCTGGGATGCTCCTGTGCGCGCTCGCGATACCTGTCCCAAGCCCCCAACACCTGCATCGGCTGCGCCCGGGAGTCCGCTCCCGCCCTCTTCGCTTCCACCCCCACGCCGCCCCCTTCAAAGGGGGAAGATAACACGCGTCGCATCCCCGCGGATGCCTCGCTGCGCAGTGCGAAAGGGGGGGGAGGAGGGGAGGAGGAATGGCGGACGGGGAGGGGGAGCCAGGGGAGAGAGCGGGAGAGGGGACGGGGTCCCGCGGTGTCCTGTGGTGGCCCGTGGTGTCCCGTAGTGTCCCGTTGAGTGTGATCGATAGTGAGATCGATAGTGAGATCGACAAGAGTCCCGTGGTGTCCCGTAGTGTCCTGTGGTGGCCCGTGGTGTCCCGTAGTGTCGCGTTGAGTGAGATCGATAGTGAGATCGATAGTGAGATCGATGCTGAAATCGATGTCATGCCCAGAGGTGTCCCGTGGTGTCCCGTGGTCTCCCAAAAAGTGAGATCGATAGTCAGATCGATAATGAGATCGACAGGTGTCCGTGGTGTCCCGTGGTGTCCCGTTGGGTGAGATCGATAGTGAGATCGATAGTCAGATCGATAGTGAGATCGATGTGGTGTCCCGAGGTGTCCCGTGGTGTCCCTCGGTGTCCTACGGTGTCCCGTTGAGTGAGATCGATGGTGAGGTCGATAGTGAGACCGATAGTGAGATCGAGAAGTGTCCCGCAGTGTCCCGTGGTGTCCCGTGGTGTCCCGTTGAGTGAGATCGAGAATGAGATCGACAAGTGTCCCGTGGTGGCCCGTGGTGGCCCGTGGTTTCCCGTGGTGTCCCGTGGTGTCCTGTTGAATGAGATCGATATTGAGATCGATTGAGTCAGATGTTGGTTCCCCCCCTCTCCCCCCCCTACAACCCCCCTATCACCCGAAGGGTGGTCGTATAGGTATATGTTTATAATTGTGTACATACGTACTAGAACCATCGTGCGCGCTTCGCGCGAGATGAGGTTCTGCGAAATTCCAGCTCGCAATGAGATGTCGAGGAGTGGGCGACGGCTGCACAGAGGACTTTAGTCCAAAGACGCGACGGGAGCACGTAGTAGACTGCCCTTCCCTGAGCACGGAGGTCGCCAGGAGGACGAAGAGGACGAGGGGGACGGTTTGGAGGTCGAGAAAGGGGAGAAGAGTCCAGGAGCATGACGGCGACGATAACGAGGGCAGAACGGGAAGGAGGGACAGAGGGAGGACAGAGAAGAGGGGCCACGGTGCCCCTCGTCCACGTGTGCACCTCCAAGTGGACTTCTGCCCATCCTGCCACCGTGCCTGGGATGTTAGTCAGAGACCCCTTGGGTGCCTGCTGGGGTCTTCGGGGAAGCCTCTGGGCAGCCTCTTGGAGGCAGTTTTGAAGCCCATTGGGGGGCCGTTCGGGGGCCTCCTGGGGCCTCTCTTGGGTCTGATAGGGGTTGTTATCGGGGGCCTGCGGTCGGTCTCTTGGGTCCTCTCGGGCTCGAGGCCTCGGAATACGAGGAGGGGCCACCGTGCCCCTCGTCCAAGTGTGCCCCTCCTGGTGGCCTTCTGCCCAGGCCTGCCACCGTGCCTGGGTTGCTGGTGTGGGACCCCTCGAATGCCTACTCGGGTCTCTGAGGAAGCCTCTGGACGGCCTCTTGGAGGCAGGTTTGAAGCCTCTCGGGTGCCTTTCGGGGTCTCTTTTGGTCCTCTTTTGGGCCTCTTGTGTCCTCCTGGGGGTTCACAGGAATCAAACGACGTTTATCTCTTCGGGCCCTCTTGGGGGTCCTCTTGGAGCCATCTTGGGGCGTCTCGGGGGCCTCTTGGGCTGTCTGGACGCCATCTGGGGCCGTCTGGAAGTCACGTTGGCCCGTCTGGGACTTATTTGAAGCTCAGGGAAGGCACCGAGGGGTGGCGGGGGGGACTTAAATGTATAACAGTGACCCCTGTTATGCTGCGGCCCGGGGCCCCCGGGGCCGGAGCTCCGATATATGGAAGAAGATTTACTAATAGATAGATAGACCTATACGGCCACCCGTCGGGTGGTAATTAAGGAGGTTGGGGGGGACAGAACCAACTGAGGACAACTGCGATGATTGTGATGGTGGTGATGCTGGTAATGCGCTCACGATTGGGCCACAAAGATGGGACACCTACGGGACACCGATGCGACACCACGGCGGGACACCCCCGGCCACCGCCCGCGGACACCGACGGGACATCGACGGGACACCTCGTCGGGACACCACGGCGGGACACCCCTGCCGAAGCCGGCCCACCGGAGGGGCGGTCTTCTGTCCTGACCCGCCCTAGCCACAGCGGAATGATTCCTCTCACCCGCACAAACACCTTTGCCTCACCCGCATCCGCGACACGAACCCGAAACCGAAACCGACTTCCCAGTGGGGGGTTTTCCGTTCCACTTCGATCTCGCCCCAAAACCTCCGATGTGTGCATACACATGCCTATACGACCGCCCTTCCAGTGATCAGGAGGATGGGGGGGAAGAACCAACTGAGGACAACTGCAATGATTGTGATGGTGATGATGCCGGTGATGCGTTCACGAGTTGGCGACGAGAACGGGACACCGACGGGACACCGACGGGACACCACAGCGGGACACCCCTGGCCAACGCCCGAGGACACAAACGGGATACCGCCGGGATACCACGGCGGGACACCAAGGCAGGACCCCCCTGGCCACGCCAGCCCACAGGAGGAGCGGTCTTTTGTCTAAACCCGCCCTAACCAAAGCGGAAAATTCCCCTCACCCGCACACGCAACTGTGCCTCGCACGCACGCACGACACGAAGCCGTAACCGAAACCGATTGTCCGTCGGGGGGCTCTACGTTCCGCTTCGATCTCAGCCCCCAACCTCTGATGTTCATTTCCACGCGCTCAAAATCCCGCTCGATGCTCCGAATAGATACGAGCTGTTGACGCTGAAATCGATGCGTGATCAGCCTGAGCCCTGAAGAGTGAACGTGAGCGACACGGCCTGTCTGTAGGCGATACACTTGGAGGCTCCAAACCTGCTGACGCGGTAGGCCCTACAGATCGATAGACAGATGGATAGATAGATAGGTATATGTATATGCTTATATAACTAGATACGTGTAATTGTATATACCTCGCTATCTATAAGTATGTGAACGTGCAATGATACATGAATAGTTATATAGATGTATGTGTGTGTTGCTGTATATGAAAATGTATAGATAGAAAAATACAAATATATAGATATAGGTCGAAGGATTGATAGATTGATCGCTTGTTTGATAGATAGATGGGTAGACATATAGAGAAGATTAAGAGACATATGGATATATAGGTTTTAGCATATTATAATAAAGTGGTCTCGTATACAGTGAATTAAATCATATTAGTTTAAATTATATTAGATGGGGTTCGATTGATATACAGATAAATAGATAGGTACATAGAAAGATAGATATCGCTCTACCGTTCTACCCCACCATCTACTCTGCCGCTGGCCCCGCCGGGGCGGAGCACAGCCCCCGCGGCTGCCCAATGGCAGCCCATGCCAAGGACTGGACGCAAGATTACAATAGACGATCAGGGGCACGTCTTCGAGCCAGCGTGGATGTGCGCGCGGGAGCAGGTGTTCGACGCCGGCGCTGTTCGCACAAGGGGAGAGCGGGGAACACGGGAGTTGGGGCCCATCAGGCTCACGGGGTCTGTCCAGAATCGGCGGTTTCCCCCAGAAGGCTGACGGCACATCCTCAATACGGTGAAAATCGGCCTGTCTTTCAGCGCCTGCCTCAAGATGTGCCCCCAGGCCCAGGGCCAAGAAGCTCCAGGCGGGCTCCTGCTGGTAGGACGGTCCCTTGCTCGCAGACGTTAGCTCTCTGGTCTGGAAACGGGCCTCTGGGCGAAGGCGGCCATACCCCCTATTGGCCCCGGGGGGGGGGATCCTGACCCCCCCTGCAAAAAAAATGCAACTCCTCCTGCTCCCCAAACCCCCAATAACCAACCAGAACGTCCGAAAACGCCTGGGTCGCCCGAAAACCTCGACCCACTACCCTCAACGGATAGTCGACGGCGACACAAGTTGTATTGCTTGTGCGGCACGTTGTGGACGCATGCGATACGGACGCTGATCGGCTACGAATCATCACCTTGCAGAAGGGGCGGTCGCCTTTTTCCACCTGAGCTCGCCTCCTGGGTTGCAAATCTGAACTCTTCGTGGAAGTATCGGCACAGATCGAGGAGCGTCATTGTTGCTTTGTAAGCCGGCTCCTCCGGGTTCGGATCTCCCATAAATCCTTCGGACATATCTGAGATCATCCCGTCAAACCAGGCAGATGGTGCCACA